CCACATAAAATATCAAATAAACTGCAATTATTCTATTATTATTATGACAAGTTTACATTTGTTCTCAGTAGAGCTATATATTTTATTAGTAGTTATTACCCAACATAACATTTCCCTCTATGTAATATATGGTAAGTGAAGTTGTTGCCATGGGAATGATGAATTAGACAGGACAAATTGCAACCAAAATTGGAACTTATTCTGAATTTTCAAACTGGGTATTTTCATGAGGTTTCTTCAACATTTGCCTGTGTGCGATCATTCATTAGATTAGTCAATGTACACAAAGTCATCCACTCAGACACCTGTTCATGCTCCATGTCCTCCCCCTGGCATCTACGTCAGACACCCTCTTCTGATGCCTCTCCCACAACCACGCCCCAGCTAGGGCGGTCCATGATGATCCTGTCTTCTCAAACTCCCCGGCATCTCACAGACCTCCCTTCTAAACTGACACCACCATATTGCTTAAATGATGGAGAGCTTTTGAGCACATGACCATCACTTCTTAGCCGCTTCTCTGTGTGTGGATTTTCCATAGCATCCCACCGACAGGGTGCACACTTACGAATAGAGCTTTGCTGAAGGAAACAGTGCAGAATAAAGCCTAGGATTAGAAACGGATTTAAAGATCAGATAGGACAAGTGTCTGCCCAGGCTTCCATCCTCCCACCTCTTCCTGGGGGATTTTCTCTGCCTGCGCAGATCTTTCAGTAGAGAACTCATTACCACCCAAGAAAAGCACTTTCCAGAAGTTGTGAACAGCAAGATGTCCTTTTTTTCATTGAATACTTTGTTGCTGTTGTGGGGCTCAGTGTGGGTGTCACAATGCCACCTACAAACCACTCATCACTGATACCACACTGATGAGGACACTCATGGCCCTGCATGTTCATGCTTAGAGCAGCCGCAACAAGAGTAACAACGACAACTGAAGCGCTCAGTCTGCAGAGGGGAAAGCACTGCGCGATGAAATGCATGTCTGTCTGTCTGTGATTTGGGTTAAGTATTCCACATTTATAAAAGGAGACTTCTTTACTAAGTGTGATGTTAAAAACTGCCAATTAAAATGAAGCAAAGTACTTCCAAAATACGGAAGTAATACAGAAAAAGAACGTTGGGAAGTTGATAATTTAGATAATGGCTATGTTAAATTAAAATTATAGCCTTTAGTTATAAAAAGTTAATTTAGAACAACTGTATGTATATACATACACACGAATGTACATATGTATGTGCCTGGAGGTGTAAGACCATTGATGCCCCATCATGATACGAACAGGTTTACTTGAAAACATGGGTTAGGCTATTTCTTAACTTGAAAACTCTACTAAAGACAGAGTTAAAATTCAGTTGGTTGTGATAGCAAAATTTTCATAAAGTTTCGTTTTTTATTTTAAAAGCTAAAAGATTTAATAAGCAAATTTAGCATGCCAAAACTACTGAGCCACTTCACAAATACTACCTTTCTGTGCCTGAGAAAAATCTACATGAAAATTGTGTATACATTTAAAATAAAAGCAAATGTATACAATATATAGAGACAACTTGACTGAAAACCATAAAGCTAACATAAATTAAATGATAAAAGAAACTGCATATATGTAATGAGATTCTTAGTGTTAATAAGATGGTGCCTCTCCCTTCAACAATAGTATTGTTTGAACAAGTGTCCTTAAAGTCCTCTTAGCTAAGTCTGAATATTGTAGCTTATCACAGTAAATGGCAGAAACACTGTCGCTGCTCAGTCTTTTACTCCAAGCTACAATCTTGTGGTGATGGTGACGTAGGAACCAGGGAAGAAAGTCAATTCCTTCTAAGCAACCAGAAGTATTTAGATAAGATATAATTATGTATTTTAGGACAGCAAAATGGCTCAGTAGTAGTCTTTACATGATTTGGTCCTATGGACCCACATGGCAGAAGGAGAGCGCTGACTCCCACAAACTGTCCCCTGTACACTACAGTAGGCAGACACACGCGTGCACACACACAAAATACACACACACACAAACACACACACATACACAACACACACATACAATACACATACAATACACAAACACACACACCGTGGGGGGAGACACTCATTCATTCATTCATTCATTCATTCATATTTTTGCATTCTATCTCTGTCTTTCTTTCAAATAAATAAATGTAACAAACATCAAATTTCAGGTGAGAAATGAGGCTAATTATTTAGAAGAAAAGATATCATGTTATCTTCGAAATGCAGCAGAATGAAGAATAAAGTAGAGTAGAAATAGAGAGAAATTTTAAAAATAGACATAAAAATGGGAATTTGCAAAACAGAGTTCAGCAAAGTAGTACTATTCTGCAAGCAACAATGAGCGCTATTTATATTTGAATAATAGAATGGAAATGAGAATAATAACGGTAAGCAATAAGGCATTCTTTTTGACTTGCAAATATCCATTCCCTAGCTCCTCTCCGTCACTTCATGGCTATTAGAGTTAGGCCTGCTGACAAAAAGAGGTGAATCTTACCCAGCAATCGTGGAGCAGCTTGAAACACAATTTAAAATGAAACAAAAAGAAAAGGCTAGGAAGCCATTTAAAATGGAACATCATTGCAGGTAATACACACCAAATGATATGAAAACTAAGCTGATATAATAATAAACTGGTTTTGATATAAGACTTGTTTGGATGTCTTTTGTCTCTAGAGCAGTGCAGCTCAGATAACGAGGCCCAGACCCTACTCGAAGTGGACGAACAGCAAAGGGGCCGTGGGACCCCGCGAAGGGCTGGAGAAGGGACAGCTCACTAATCTTTCAACAGTGGTAGAGGGTTACCACGGCAAGGGTGAAGCGTGGTTATACCAAAGCAAAGACTAATCTTACCAGACCACCCCAACCATCTTCTTTCCTGGGGAGAAAAAGCTGGATCACTGCCTCCAACCCCAAGCCGTGCAGGGCCACCTTGGCCTCTAAGGGACCTAGGAAACACACCTCTTCCCACACAGAACAGGACCCCCCACACTGTGGGTGTGACTTTCTATCCTGACTTACTGGACAGGTCTCAGGCCTGTAACTGTTAGGTCCACTAAAATGGCAGCTATCTTCCAGGATAACAATGCCTGAGCAATCCCAAAGTCTGCAGCATGGCTTGCTGTCAGGTTAAAATAGCCCCAATCAGGGAAGTAGTGTGACCAAGAGCAATATTTAGCAGGTAAGCAGAGGTCGGGAGAGCACTTCTGGGCTTCTGAGAGCAACAGAGGAGCCTGTGAAGTGACTCTCTGGGCTAGGAAAGTGGGCAGCACTAGTCAAACCGACCAGCGGGGACGACGCTGGAAAACTAGTGAAAACACCGTGACCCTGTGGGTGTTCCTGACCTTGTAGGGCCCTAGACTACAATGTCAGTAGCTGTTTACCATCCTCTTTGAAGGTTACTTGGCAGTTTGAGGATGGAAACAAAAAGGTATTTCCTGAGTATACATCTAAGGATCCTCTGGAGTGCTAAAGTAAAAAGAAATGTGCCAACAACTCTCAGGTAACCTGTGACCTTTTTACAACTGCCCCACGGCACGGGGGTCAACTGGAAAAATTTAGTATGGGGACAGCAATGGAGATAAGAGTCTCCTTCATACATCTCATTTACTGTGTCTTATGACGCTCTGACGTTCTGCCGTGTCAGGGTAATGACCGCGCTGACCTCAGTCCTTCCCTCCCCTTGTTCTCTTTGTAACTGCAATGGACACTTTCCTGAATGAGAGTGCAGAAAGATAGTAGCCGGCAAACTCTAGAAACATGGAAAGACATACAATGTAACTAATGTTCCCCACAAACAGGCTGCACTCAGGGAAAGAAGTGCCCCGTGTGAACGGGAGGGAGGTAGTTTCTAAGAACTAACCATCACTGAGCGTCCACTGTACCAGTGGGGACTACATAGGGACTTTCTACTCAGTCTTACTACCTTCTGCAGAACATGTTATGTGGCTTAATAGACAGCTTCAGGGTTATGAAGAGGAGACAAAAGTAGACCTGTAACCCAACTTGCTATGTCCCCCCCCAACCCCCAGTACTTATTACAATTGTTCCCTGATAGAGAGGTAATGGTATCAGATTCCTCTTCAGGGAGCAATTTCCCAAGGCTGTGTTTTCCGTTCAGATGTTTCTGACTTACTGATTTGTTTATAAACTGTTATCTTTTACCATAAAGATCTGTTTAATTTGAGGAGTTAGGAGCACATTAGTATGACGGCTCTCTGCATGACAGCTGTATCATACATCAATTTAAATGAACACGGCTTTGTAACAGCCTGGCTCAGGACTGCTAAGTACATATAACCACACTCAACACCTGGGAAGATCTTGACACGAGTCATAAACGGAACGTCCGGCGAGAGCCAAGGCACCCAGCAACCCTGTTAAAAGAATCACTTCCCCACGCAAAGCAGGCCCACACCTGTAACTCAGAGAGAGGACACAAGGAGGAAGCTGGTCACTTTGAACGTGGGTAGAGCAGAAAGATGTCCTTACCAAAAGAATGACGCCCCTTAGAATAAGGTGTACATAAACACGTCCAATTTTAAATGGTGATGCAAATGGACACCACTACTTCATATGTCTCTAAATGTGGGCACTCGATGCCTTCCAGACTCTCCAGTATTAACCAGGCTTGCCTTAGGAGTATCAGGCATACATTTTACATAGTTCTAATGTGAGCACGTGAACTCAGCGCACTGATTTATCACGCACGTTTACAAGCCAGGAGTTTCACTGATCTGGAAATTGTTTTCATTTCATTCCTCTTCAGGCCCCATTCTTTAATCCCGTGTGTTAGAGGCACAGATGGGAGCTCATGCGCACACTTTCATTGGTTTCCTTTTCCTTTATTTTGTTTCATCAGAATTAGCATAAATGAACACAAATTGTCTCTCTAACATGATTCCTGATCTCTCTTTAAATAACTTTTGATGGTTTTTAAGATCTTTATTTATCTAAGGGTAAAGGGTTAGGACAAAGGCTCGTTACATACCATGATCGGTGATTTTGCAGGACACCAAGTACAGCTCTTTCAGATTTTGTCCCTCCTTTGCAATGACCTCCACACACCTGAAACACAAAAGTGGTGGAGTCACTACCGCATCCCAGCTAAACCAGCACAAGACGACCCCACGTCCACAACAAGAGGTCAGAGCTCAGCAGCCCAGACAGCCCAGTCCTCTGCTCTCAGCACACCTGTTCAGGGCATCTCAGGGACTCTCGTGTTCTCTGCTGTCATGTTACACACTCACCTCCTAAGTGGTTTCACTACAGCCTTTCTGATCAGCATCCTTTAACACCCAGGAGATGGGAAAGAGACATTCCTTTAAGGCCACTGTAAATTTGGGTACGAAAAGTTGATAAACCCATGTGGCATAATGAATGCGTACATATAAAATGATATAAAATAATTAATCAAAATTGCAGTATATCTGTAGGTAGGTATTTCAAAGGAATGATAATTATTCTGAGTCCAATTTTTAATTCAGAAGTTTGGTATCATTAAATACACATTAGAGGATATAAAATCCAAAGTTGTAAAAATCTGTAACTGAAAAAGGATATAAAACCAGAACATGAGAATAAGACTTTCACTTTAAAATGTTTCATTTTTTAATATTTTAAATGAACTGTTATATAGACTGTTTTAATTATACATGGCCATATAATATTTTTAAATCTTTTTTGATTTTCATTTAAGTTAAAAGATTTTTCATTACAGTCATATCATCACTAAAGCAGACAATTTGGTGAATTTTAAAAATAACAGATAGCCACACTACCTAATCCACAGCTCTGTCCTCTAAATATCAGAAGTTGTACTGTCAGGGCTGACACACAGGTGTGGGTGCGCTTCAGCGTACTCCTATTTTAATCATATACACAGCAGTTGAGCAAAAGGGTAAAAAGCAGAAGAGTCATTAGCCTTTCTGAGGAATGACGGGCCAAGCAGTCTGATACCTGTGTGTATAACCCATCAAAACTCAGTTGGCATCCATCTCTATCATTCAGATATTTCATTTGCTGCTTGGCATATTTGTAGGTATCTTCATAAAATGTCAGGGAGTTTTATATAAGTTTATCCCATAGAATTCATTATTAAAGGTTAAATTAGTAGGAAAGACATATTTTTCTTTTCAAGTACTTTTATATATAGAATTTTGTCCTAATGGAATGATAAACATTTCATGTTTCCCCAGACAACCAGGAAACATGCTTCTTTGGTTATTTTATCTAAAAAGATTTATGATTAAAACAGGTAACCACACAGAGAACTTCAAACACAATAGAGTTAGGATTGACCCAGATTATTGTGAAGGTAAACTTTAAACTTAATCTTATATAGTTTGGCTTTAATACAACATTTTAATAAATTCATAAAAAAGAAATGCTAAAAGAAATGAAACAACTCAAGCAAAGCCTACACTTACATGTGACTTACAGAGAATTTTCTCATGCTAAGAATAAAAAATAAAAGCCATACATTACAAAACCCTAATGATTTAAAATTTCCTGGATACTCTTTGCAATATCAAAGATCCATATTTTATGATTCTTATGGGATTAAAAAAGTTAATAGAATATGCCGGGCGTTGGTGGCGCACGCCTTTAATCCCAGTACTCGGGAGGCAGAGGCAGGCGGATCTCTGTGAGTTTGAGGCCAGGCTGGACCGACAGCCTCCAAAACAGAGAAACCCTGTCTCGTAAAACCAAAAAAAAAAAAGTTAATAGAATATGTTGTGACAACAATGAAAAAAATTAATTGTGTTTTGTTCTTATGCTTCAAAGTAGTTCAAAATGTCTTATTTTAATTTGATTGTGGAAAACACTAAGCAAATGCAGACTCTCATTGAATCTATTTGTCTCCAGTCTACACTGGATACACATATAAACATCACAGATTCACAGAGAGGGCTGGAGGTAGCAGGTAACAGAAAGAACGCTGCTGTATCAGACAACCAAAACTGTTTCATAACAATAAAACCAGCATGTATATAAAACAAGAAAACACTGGATGCCGATTGCCTCCAAACAGCTGAGTGACAGGGGCACTAAGGTTCCTACCAAATGACAGAGAAATGGACAGGATGTGTGGATGGTTATGAGCAGATACTGGAAATCATGTAGCTTGCTCCCGAGGTAATACATTAACAAAAACAAACTATTTCTTGAAGGGTTTACAACAAAAAAATTTAATTTTAAATCATCCATTGCTATGATATTTGATGACAGAATTTTCAAGTTCTATGAATCTAGACTGAAATTCTCCCCATTTTGGGAGACAGGGTTTCTCTGTGTAGCTTTGGCTGGAACTCACTCTGCACACCAGGCTGGCCTCAAACTCACAGAGATCCACCGAGTGCTGGGATTAAAGGCGTGCGCCACCACCTCCAGGTGAGGCTGGAATTCCTAATGCAATATTAAAACCAGCAAAAGCTGAGCAGTGAAAACAGCCAAAGCAGTGTTGTTGTAGACGTGAAAATGGAGTGGGATTGCATTACCCCGCTACTGCAAACTGACGTAAACACGCAACCTCACACATCCTTGGCTGGTTTCTGAAGACTTATAATTCTGCTAAGTGTTTCTCAGACAGCACTGGTGACAGTGCAATGACCAGGGCGATGACTACTGCATCTGCTCAAACTTTTAAAGTCCATTCCAGAGTGCATTTAGAGGAAGTGCTACAATATCCCACGTCTACGAAGCACAGTTTCAAAGACTCTTGGTAAGAGCACACCCAACTCACTGTATGCTATGTGAGTAGAAAAGAAAAGTAAATAATAGAAATGATAGAAATTTTCATGATTAGTATTTATGACAACTTTAAAGGGTATTTTCCAACAACTTTTAAAAGATAAAACAATGTTTTCAAAGTGACAGTCTTTGATGATCCTGAGCAGTATGGTTGAAGCATAAATGACATTTAGAACCTGTGTATCTCCACTCCCACCCCTATTCATATGTATCACATAAGAGAACATTGTATCCAATGCAGCAAAAACAAACTGTATTGGTCGGCAGAGGCAGCGCATGCGCGCCTACCATCAGAATCTAGACTTTAAAATGTCCCCACCCTTCCTATACTTCGTCCCCATCATTCCAAATGACAGATCTCTGAATATTATATGACATTCTACATAGATCCAAGAGTTCTCATGACAATACAGGAACAAAATACAACAACAAAAAACGAAAAAAAGAAAGAAAGAAACACTGAGTCCTTAAGGGAAGTAGTGAGATTATAAAAGGCAAATGCATGACAAAGAACAGATGACATAATTGAAAGATGACAAAAGTATGAGAAACTGTTAAAGTATTCCTCATGGGGAGGCATGCCTTTGGGAGGAAAGAAAGACTCCCAAGACATACTCCCAGCTGCTCCTGTAAGGAGCCATGGCCGACGCCTGCCTTCCTTGGAGATCCTACAACATTTGCTTCAAACGAGGCTCCATGTAAACATTTTCTCCCAGATCAAAAGTCTTGGGTTCATTTAGACACTCTATAGTTTATTCAAAATTACTTGCACTTAGATTATTTTCTTGCTTTTATGCTTCAGCAAGGATGTGAAGAAAATTTTCAAGCCTTCCTATTGTAAATTACTGAGTAACAGCTGTTGAGAATGAATGTGTGTGTGTGTGTGTGTGTGTGTGTAATATATATATATACTTTCTCTTTCTTTGAAAATAAAGTGCCAGAAAACCTGCTCTAAGATAGTCAGAGAGGACAACATTAGTTTTGATAATTTTACACTCACTTGCTTTTAAGAAGGTTCTAAAATTTGCCTGAAGCATTTGTGAAGTTTAAAAATTGAAAGGTTATTTCATGAGATGTGTAAGGTGCATTTTCTCTCTCTTTTGTCTTTTAAGGAAAGAAAACAATTCTCAGTTGTGATGAAGGAAAAGTCTGTCTTCTTAGCAACAGATTCCTAATCACCTGATTTATGAGAAGGGCAGAGGTTAATGAATTCAGCTGTGTGAGCTTCCACATCACCAAAGGAGTTCAAAAGAGCCTTGAATTATGGAAAACAACGACCCATTCTACATACATACCAAATTTTTATGTTTTTTGTCTCCTACTCAAAAGCCAGAACATGGCATTAGTGACAATTGAAAAGAACTAATGAGGAAATATGACTACGTTGTTTGTGAGAGGAGTGTCCTAGGAGACCTTGTTACTGTTTGTGATGTGCTTGAAACCAAAAAGAAGCTAATTGGAGCTGCCAGACACTGGTTTGCAAATCTTCCTTTAAAGGACAGGCTCAATCACCTTCGAGGTGTGAAAAGAAATACCCCATTAGAGATGCATTAGCACAGGGCCTGGTGGAGTTTCAAAGAGCTTGGGGTGTTCTCTTCCAAGCCACACTCCTATGTGCATAACAGACATATCTTTAAAGAGAGAAAATTGCAACAAGACAAAAAGCAACCCAGAGATAAAAAGAAGAAAATGTATAGAGAGTGCAGTAAAGAAGTTGGTAAATACGTACAAAGCTCGTGTTTAAGGTTGAATAAACATGGAGTAGAAACCTCACAACTCAAAAGACACCATAAAAGTGATCTATGTGAAGGTTCTAGAAACAGAGCTGGGTTTTCATCAATTATAAAACTAAGTAAGCTACATTGTATGGACTGTAGACAGACAAACCGTGATGCACGTGAGTGTGTGTGTGCGCGCAGGCAGGCACACACACACACACACACACACACACACACACACACACACGTGCGCGCAAGCACCGAAAAAGGAAGTGAGGTTTTACAAGGTCTAAACAGAGTAACAAGAGGCCCAAGTGCTGCCGAAGGGTGCCATGCTAATCCACAGATGGGCTACTTAAGTGGTACCAGGGGTTGCCAAAACAGTTTGGCATCTGACAAAAAGCATAACGACATCTGATTGATTTTTTTAAGTCTGAAACCAAGTTCTGCTGAAGAATAATCTCATCAATCGTGGTGGACACGATTTACAAGTGTACTGTGCAAGATCCAAGGCTTAAGGAAAGGAAGATTTACAAAATCACTTATGTCAATTCAAGTATTCATGACTAGCATATTTCCCTTATTTGAATAAAATCT